AACTGTATCAATATGTTCACTTAGCATACATCTTTAGAAAGCTCCTTCACCTAAAGAACTCTCAAGAACACATGCACGCAAAAATACCACTCAAATACACACCTGGGAGAGCGGGTTTCTGTGAAGGCAGTTGACCCCACCAATAAAAACCATATTGGGCATGATTGGCTTGGGGAAGTCAGCAGTAAAGTCAATTCTGAGCAGCCAGATGGACGCAGAGGCTAGAAGTTCCTGGACAGTCACTTCTCTCTGAAGAATTTCTGAAGCAAGTAGTGCATAGGGGGAGTACACCACATTGCACATGACCTTCTCGGTCAAGACAAAGAGCACGTTCTTCACCCGCTGCAAGAAGGTCATGTGATCTGGGTTGGTTGACATAGACCTAGGCACATAAGACATGGGGTTGGGGCACTGGGTGCCCTCAAAGTGCAGGCCACATGGCAACGCGTTCAAGAAGAAAACAGCAGGCAGAGCCAGCAGCTGGGCCACGATGGGCCCACAGGGGAGGAAAGGGTCTGTCAGCACCATGTCGAAGTTGCTTTCCACCAGGGAGGCCATCAGCTCCTTGTTGTGCACGAGGTGGGAGCAGCCAGACAAAAGCAGAGCACTGTCCCTTTTGACTTTCTTGTACGTTTTGAGCATACGCTGCAGGAAAGGAAGGCTCTCAAAAACATGATGGCCAAGTTCATTGAAACTGGCTTCCACATCCTCCTTCTGGAATGGCACGGGGTACTTCTTCAAGGTATAGGATGGGTCTTCTTTTATATACAACAAGGCCTCAGGTGCCACGACCACTATCTCATGTCCATTCTGCTGTAGCCGCTGGATGACCCCGACCATGCTCAGCCAGTGGCTGCCTTCCACGGGGACCACCAACAACTTCCCAGCATGGGATCCCAAGGGCCTGAGCGCACATACCAAGAAGCCTAGGAACAGCAGACGTGGGACCAGGGACGCCATAGCCATGCTATCCCTGCCTTTGCTCTCTTTCACCAACTCCCATGTAGCCAGGGCCAGTGTACACACTAAGTTAATGTTTGATTGTGTCACATGACCAGAGCCACTAATCCACAAGGATAGCAGGAGGTGTACTTTGGGGAATCAAGAGGGTGGATATCAACTGGGTTTCCTAATAGGCCACAATAGACAATAGGCTTAACAGGCTGGAATTCCTTCTTCAAATCACTCTTGAGTAAAAACAGAAGGGAAAACATCTATAGTACCTTGGGATCCATTACTATTTTAAGAGATCAAGAAAATATTACAAGAGAGAAAAAAAGAGTACAAGGGGACAAAGTAAACTTCTTTTCCATAAATGAAACAATGTTTTTCATCCTTTTGAAACAGAAGAGCACACCACTGCAGCTCCCCTTTGACCGTAAAGGTAAACACTTCCTCCACAGCTTGCTCAGGGTGCTGCCTGACCACTGGCACTGAGTTTGGATTCATTTATCCCACAAATACGTATTGAGCCAAGCAAAGGAAGCAGATGAACAAAAGCAAGAATGAGAAATTGTATTTATTGAGCTTGTACAATGTGCCAAATGCCATCAAGCTAGCATTCCCCAACACATTTTATGTAAACCTTTAGAACTATCCCGTAGAAGTAGGTACCATACCATAGCATTTCCCCCATTTAACAAAGACATTGAGGCCAAGGGAGGCAAAGAGATTTTGCAGAGTCTTGTATTTCCTAAGTGGTACAGCTACACTGTTGGTGCCCAGAGCCTGTAGTTCTTAACAACTCTCACAGTCTCTGGTTGGGCAGAGAGTAGTACAAGTTCTTGGTCAAACCTTGCAATGAATTGTAAGTCAGAAAAAAAAGCTGTGACCCCTAAGCCATTGTCCAATTAACACAAATGAAGAAAAGGCAGAGAAAAGGACACTGCAATCAAAGAGAAGGCTCTCACACGGAACTAGCTGTATTCTAGGAGATTGGAGCATGGTCACCTGCTCCTGATGAACAGGTAAACCAAGGTGTAGACAGAACTGAGCACAGATCCTTTCTTTTGGATCCCACACCACTAGCCACTTGTATCTACAGATATGCTTGCAGGTTTCATGGAGAAATGACTAACTTTAAAGCTCTTGTGTCCCATGGAGCACATAAACAAGGTGCCTCTCCTTCCAGTATGTAAGGGAGCCTGTTCTCTAAGCCAGCACCCCTCACCAACAGACCTCTAAGTTCCCACGTACCTCCACACGCAAGGGTGCACACGCATGCCCAGAAGCTCCCTGGAGTCTCAAGCACTCTTACTCAGGCCTAGCAGAAAAGATGTAGCACTTCTTTTTTGCCCCTTGCTGAACTCTTTTCTGCAACTTAGAAAGCTTCAGTTCAAGTTAAACTTTAAAGGCAATAATTCTTGATAATTATTCCAGTCACAGAGTTCACCCACACATCATATCAAAGGTGTTACACAGTCAACACTAGAGTGATCTAATGACTTTTACTGCACCACATGAGCCTCAGAACTGTTTGTGTGCTGGATCTGTCTATTTATTGTGTTGCTGGGGGTCAACATAGGGCTTCACACATTCTAGGCAGGTGCTCTACCACTGAGCTACACCCCAGCACTTGGAGCTTTTATGAGGCCGCTATGTAGCTGTATGGTTTGAGGCCCCATGCTGCTCTGGATCAGATTAGATTATTTCCTGATCTGAGTGTCCAGCAATCCAATCCTCATCCATCCTCATGAACTACAATGAGAACCACTGCTATGCAATCCAATAAAGCTTCTACTTTGGAGTCTGAGTAAACCTGACACTTAAAACATTAATTTTCTCTTTCACCAAATACTGAAGGACATGAACTTCCAGCACAATGCTAGAAGCAAGTCCAGAAAATGATGTTATAAGTGGCCCCTACTAGAAAGAAGAGTTCCAGCATGCAGAAAACACCCAGCCAGTGATAGGGCAGAGTGGGGTGTGCTCCTGTAGCTGAGGAAACGACGAGCAGAGGCACAACCTGGTCTTGGGATGGGGTTGCTACTGGGGAATGGGTGTCTGAAAGGTTCCTGGAACCCACAAGGAGGTTCGTTCTTGACAGCTGGAAGTTAAGCGTCTCACCACTTGGGACTCTCTCAGCTCCACTGATCAAAGCAGAAGGGAGGGAGGGACTCACTGCCAAAGGGGCAGCCTCAGTGCTCCACTTTCTTGAGGCTCCTGAGCAGGGTCTTCCACAGGAAACACCGCTGTCTTTCTCAGATTTCTGCAGTATTTTCTTCTATTCTGCCTTCAACCATCAAGGAGCTTGCTACTAGACTGTCCATAAATGCACACCTTCCTCTTGTGGAGGGCTTCAGCCCTGAAGCCATTGCCTTACTTTCATATACCAGGAACACCTCTGCACAGACCAGCTTCCTTTCTTCTGCTTTAGGGGCCATGTCCAGGCACGTGCTGGCTCTGGAGGCATCTACCACCTCCACTCAGCTTAACTGACATGGCTCTGTTCCAAGGCCCTAGCCCCTGTTCTCTCAACTCCTCCTAGCTGGCCCTCTGATTTACCCTGCTAGCTGTCCCAGCCCTGCCCCCACCCACTGTGCTCAGTGGCTTCCTAGAGCCTTGTAAGAAGACTAAGACTCGTCAGCCTTGCTATCAAGACATCCTGGAATGGATTCCAGTCCCGGGTCCGACCTCATTCTTCCTCTTTATTCCTTCCACTGAATCCTTGCTCTTCCCTTTACCCTCCATTCTAGATGATTTGCCCTCCCCTCAGATTCACTTTATACTTTCTCAAATTACTTTGTTCCCACTGGACTTTGCTCCTGATAAGCTTTCTGCTGCTATTTCTTGCAAGCTTGCCAAGTGCCAAGTCCAGGGTTTCAAGTTCAGCCTATGTGATAGGAACCAGCGGTTCATTCTGGTGAAACTGATGCACCCAGTTAAACCTACTACCCTTCATGGTGAAATATTAGAAAGCTCATTGGTTAATCATTCCCCTTTTAGGATTAAGGGACTTTTATTGGGATCTTGCCTCACAACTGATCAAAGCAAGGAGTACAGTGCCAAGAGAGAATAAGAGTAAATGGAGAGAACTCAGGTACCCAAAAATAACAGAAAGAAAATCACAGTCATGACATAGCAGTTTTAGTAGGAACCATCACAGCATTCTGAGCCTCTCCACAGTGCCTTAAATATAGCCGGTAAGTTTTAATCATATTGATTTTCTAGCCCAGTGATTTTCATATGGGCTACAAAACTCTGGGGATACCAAGAAATTTTTCAGGATAATTTTATAAAGTCAAAACAATTTCCCTAACAATGATGCTGTCTGGCTTTACTGCCCTCAATTGCTCTCTCATAAATGTACAGGGGACTCTTCTGAGGTCATGTTGCAACATCACAATAGATTCAACACAGAAGCAGACACGAGACTCCATCTCTCTTCTATTTAGCTACAAAAGATTTGAAAGATACCAAACGATACCCCTCTTCTCACTGAATTTTTTAAAAGTTATTTTCTCCTAATAGTATGATTAATGTTAGTAATGAGTCATTAAATTGACTAATGAATATACCTTTTCAAATATGTTTTAAATTTCTGCTATGATGTACATGATAGAATAACCCCTATGAACACAAAAGCAAATGGGTTCTGAGGCCAACACCTTTGAGAACTGCAGTCCTCTATAACAGGAGAATGGCTATGGGCCCAGGGTCAGTCCAAACCCATTCCTGACACCGTATCCTTTCCTCCGGCTGAGGGGAAAGCTGATTCAAACCCGACTTTAAGCAAAACATATTGTAAGGTAGCAAGAGCCCCACTCTGCCCCTCCACGCACGTTCCCTCTTTTCTACCTTTTCAGATACAACAATAGTGCTAGAGTGTGGAGTGCCAGGAGCCAGTAGGGTAGATGGGATAGAAGTGGGTGGAGCTAGTTATGTCATAGAACTTCTCCAAACCCCTAGAGCAATGAATTCTGGGATGGGGAGGCAACCTCAGCTTCAACCAATGAAAAGCTGCTACGTCAAGCTGCTATGTCACAAGGGCGTCCCTGTCAGTAGCCTGCGTCTGACCTTGCACTTGTCTGCCCCTCGGGGCTGCAAGGCAAGCCCCTCGCCCAGGAGGGCTAGCCAGCATGGTGGATTACTACGAGGTGCTGGGCGTGCCTCAGCAGGCCTCATCAGAGGCCATCAAGAAGGCATACCGTAAGCTGGCGCTCAAGTGGCACCCGGACAAAAATCCCGAGAACAAGGAGGAGGCAGAAAGGAAATTCAAGCAAGTGGCCCAGGCCTATGAGGTGCTGTCAGACGCCAAGAAACGTGACATCTATGACCGCCATGGCGAAGCAGGTATGGCAGGAGGTGCCAGTGCCGATGAGGCTTCCTTCGTTGACCCTTTCGAGTTCGTCTTCACTTTCCGTGACCCAGCAGAAGTCTTCCAGGAATTCTTTAGGGGCCAGGACCCTTTCTCATTTGACTTCTTTGGAGACCCATTTGAGGATATTTTTGGAGGCCAGAGGAGCTCCCAAGGAAGGAGAAGGTCTGAATCCTTTTTCTCTGCCTTCAATGAATTTCCAGCTTTCAGGGGTGATTTTTCTTCCTTTGATAGAGACTGGACCTCCTTTGGTTCCCTGGGAAACAGAGGCCTTTCTTTCTCAATGTCTTGCGGTAGTGGTGGAACTGTCAGCTTCAATTCCACGTCGACTTCCACCGAAATAGTGAATGGCAAAAAAATCACTACCAAGAGAATCATTGAGAATGGCCAAGAAAGAGTAGAAGTGGAAGAAGATGGAAAGTTGAAGTCCCTTCTGATAAATGGCAAAGAGCAGTTGCTACACATCAACACCGAGTAACTCCTCTTGACTTGAAATGCATTTTGAGGATTAGAAGGCTATTTAAGATGGCAAGTGAAATCTACTTTCAGAACAACTGTACCCCAAAATTTTAAACAATTCATGATAGTGCCTACTTGTTGTTGTTGTGATTACACAAGTAGAACTTTAATTTTTAAAACTGTTGAAAATATCAGTATGCCCTTTGATATACATTTAACTTCAGCTTGAGGCAGACAAGGGTTATTTTGTAAGGCTAGGACAAAATATTTATCACAGTGCCTTACGTTTTTCTATTTTGTTTGAACTATGGGCCAGGTGTCTAGATCTGAAGCATTTTAACTTCAAAGTTTTACACAGTTGTGGTGAAAAATAAGTATATTAACTACTTTTGTCATAAAGAAGGGGGGGTTGTATGTAATTAATAGTGGTATATTGCATTAACTACTGTTTAAATAAAATGTTATAGGTAGGTTCTATATAAGCAGGTAAGCCTTGTAAAGTGGATATAATTGTTTCCTAGGTTGCTACAGATTTCCTCAATCAGTGCATATTTATTCTCTTCAAGTTTTGGAGGCTAGAGGTCAGAAATCCATTTCACTGGCCTGAAAGTAGAGGCATTTGTAGCACGCTCACTCTGAAAGCTCAGGACAAGCTATAGATGCCAATGCCTCAAGGTTACGTGGGCTGTTATCAGCCCCAGTTTGGTCCTCTAACTATGATGGATGCTGGAAATGAAAAAAGAAAAGTCATATCTTTCCCTAAGGTTGTACAGATCTCTCCCATTACCATATGTAGGACATACAGCAAAGTAGCTTGGCAAAAGCCAGGTGTCACCTGAAATGTAGAGTGGATGGGGCACTGGACAGACATCTAACAAAGTTGTGTTGCTACAATTTGCCCCACATGCTGGCCTTTAGGGAGAGAATTTCAAGATAACCAATCCCAAATTGCCCCATTTATAGGTGTGTAAACTGCTTTTTCTGAAGATTGCAAGACAGGAAAGGGCAACTGAAATAGGTTAAAAGCACAGTAAGTTCTTTGCAGAGGCAATGTGGGCTGAACACATTGTCAACAAGCTAGGACTGCATGAGAATGGTTTTGAATATCCTTAGGGCCTTGAAGTCCACTCTGTATGGAATGACATGCAAATAGCCTATGACAGGAACATGGCATTCAGCATTGTACCATAAGAACACATGGTCTTTTAAAACCACATCGCAGGAATCGTTGCCAAGGTACCTGGGCAGAGGCTTCCTATGTACTGACCATACAAGAAGTACTAGAATGAGACGCACTAACAGTGCTTCTGAAAAATAGGTTCTATTTTATCCAGGCCAGGGAGCTCTTACCAGTGAAAGTACTCCCTGGGTAATTTTCTGGGGTTGAGCTTGTTGCAGAAGAAACTGAGGATGTGAGCACTTTTGAGGTGATAGGAACAGGTAGTGGCACAGTTGTTATATGTGCTGTAATCACTCTGGATAGGACAGCATGGGCATGATCTCAGCTGCACAATGGGGTGAAAGATGCTCAGCAAAGCATTAGCCTGGCGTTTCAAGGTCACTCAGAGACCTCAACAGCCCCAGGTAATTGAACAGTTGAGAGTCAGCAAAACCATCAGTTGTCACGTATCCTCGATCAGTATTGCTATAAGCGAGGCTTTCTCTTTACATGTGTGTAAAACACTGAACCTGAAGGAGTCTTACAATAGAAACTTTGGAAAATAGCTTAGAAGAAAAGCCCAGGCTGCAGTAGGCCTGTATGTAGATATTAATTTTCTTTTTTTTTTCATAATTTTATTGATAAACAGATAGCAATGAGACAGTTTCAAATCAAATCGCTAGGACAGTTTCAATAACTAACACACTGCATATATTCTTCTTAGTTGTTAATTGCTGTACAAGATGTGGACTTGAGATCCTATTTACAAACACCATTAGAACAAATCATTCTATTCATTAAGAGAATGTAACTATATATCTATCCCATCCACTTTGAATACACAGATACAAAATGGACATTCATCTGTATACCCTTTTTTTTCTAAGTTCCGTTATTTGAATATTATAGGTGTGTAAACTCAGCAAAATATTCTAAAAGAGTCCAGTAGCCCTTAATAGCATTGGGTCTTCTGTTTAACTGGCAATGTCAGAAATTATTGACCTGAGTTCCCCACAGCTCAACGTAACATCATGGCTTTACTTCCTAATGGCTGTGACTCATCCACATGGCTGACACTGACAAAGGTTCTACAATCTGAGGTACAGGATCTCAGGATAAATCCTGAGGAGATTTCACTGACCTTCTCAGACCCAGAAGCTACAACTCTTGTTGCATAGGTCCTGCTTTACCTTGATCTTAACCATCCAGTAGAAAAGTATGAAGACGAGATATTCATTTTCTATGGAAGGTTTGAATAGATTTAAAGGGAGAAACCAAGGCATCTCCTCTGGTGCAGAGATGGGCCTCTAGAGCCCTCTGCAGGGCATCCGTGGAGGAAATCACCAGCACATTCCCCAGGGGCCACGCCCAGGAGAGGCTACATCCATGTGGCACCCAAACACCTAAACACTGTGGCCACCTCAGCAAGATCCATAAACTCAAGAGCCAGATGGACACTTCTTGCTGGAGGTCCATACACTGCTGCTGCACTTACCCCCATGCTAGAAAACATTTGAAAGACAGCGTGTGCATTTCCAATAACCATTACCCAATCGCTGTGCTTCGCCTCTAATGCCATTCCTCTGTAAGTCTTGGGAAATCATTCACTGAGTCTGCTTACCTTTCTATAGATTTCTAATTCCACTTCTTGCGTGGCTTTCTCAATACAGATTCCACTGACTTCTTCTTTCCATCTCCTTTAAACACTTTTCAAAAAACTTCTATTACCACCAGTCTAATGGGACTGTACTCTGGATGGTGTCAATGGCCTCAGGACTGAGTACAGTAGGCTGTTCTCTAGCTTCTCAAAAGTAACCTTTAGGAAGATATATTTTTCTAAGGGGAACTTCTTACTGTTTGTTCTGGGGCCTGTTTTCTTCAACATAGTGGATGAAAAAGATATGTATGTAAAGTCCAGGAGAACTTTCTTTCTTTCTTTTTTTTTTTTTTTTTGTTGTTGTTTTTAAGGAAGGAAAGGTTTATTTAGCTGACAGTTTGTGGATGTTTCAGTCCATACTCAGCTGGCTCCAAGGCAGAGAGGCACATGGCAGAAGGCAGTAGCTCATAGCAGTGGAAAACAGCAAAACAGCAAAAGCCAAAAGGCAGGAGCAGTGGCCGCAGCAGACAGGAAAGTTTCATTTTGAATATCTGTATTTTATAAATTTCAGGAGAATTCTTTATCTTGGCACTTATTTTTTAATTTTTAAAATCTTGTGTTTATTTACTTATTTAGTACAGGGTCTCACTATGCAGCTCAGACTCGTAGTGGTCTTCCTGTCTCAGCCTTCCCAGCACTGGGATTATAGGCATGCACAGCCATGCCAGGCTTCAGTGGTCAGCATAGCATGCCCAGGGGTTCTGGTCCCAGAATGGCATGCGGTACCAGGTATCAAACCCAGGTCACTGCACTTGACAGGTAGGCACCTTCTGACCTATTTCCCTAGCCGACCTTGGCACCTTTTGAAAACAAAATTACTTGTGAAGAATGATGGGGGCAGTAATAAACAAGATGAAATTTTTGAAATGCACACTGAAAACAAAGGAGAAAATGGATAATGCAGAGAACAAGATCAATGACAATGTAAGCATTTCCAGAAATGTTGCTCTTACAGTACTGGGGAAAGAGAGATGAGATGGGAAAGTTGAATAAGATGAGAGCCGCGAGCCTGCAGAACAGGAATCCACAGATGATTTCTTAAAGAAAAAACCAAAACAAAAATTTCAGTGGTTTAACAGATGGAAATGTGCAGGCCTTGAATAAGAATCCAGGTTTAACTCAGGTTTAGTACCCGGGGCAGAGAAAATGGCCCCGCACAGGTGCCTACATCCCAGTTATTGCTGTCTGAATGTGTCACGTTACATGGCAGACTGCCTCTGCAGATGTAACTAATGGTCTTGAAATGGGAAAGCTGTCCTGGTGCGTGCAGGTAGAGTGTTGCCACGGAGCTCGTATATGTGAAACTGAATCACAGGAGACAAATCTGAACCCCATGTTACATGTACGGGCCATCTATTTCCAAAATCAGAAGAGAAAAAAAATTTTATAGGTATGTTACGGCTTCGGTCTAGATGTCCCCCCAAAGCCTCATGCAGTCATGGGGGGCAGGCTTTTCAGAGGTGGCTAGAGCTAGAGTGGGATGCTAGAATCAAGGTGATTAGCACATCAATCCACTAATTGAGTTGGCATAGTTCTGGCTAGGGGTAAGGGTTTGGGCACTACATACACCCTAAGGCAGGTAGCCGGCATACAGTACAAGGCAGAAAGCTGGCCAGTGGTCTGGGACAGTTCCTCCCCGTGATGACTCTGTGCTATGAAGCTGGCCGACTATGGGCTGGAGCTTCTGCAAACTGTGAGCTAATAAGCCTTTCTCCCTCCATCTTTGGCTGTTAGGCATTTTGTCTCAGCAATGAAAAAAGTAGACAAAGGGAAAAAGAAATGAGTATAAGTTAACACTAAATGAAAGGAATAAATCAAATATA